TAAAATTCATTTGGAACCAAAAGAGACCTAGAATACAAAAGGAGTTCTGAGCCACAAGGACAAGGCAGGAGCATCACAATGCTGACTTGATATTATACTACAAAGCTACTGGGAGAAAGTCAGCATGGTACTAGCAAAAGCAGATCTGAGATCGATGGAACAGACTAAAAGGTGCAGAAACATCTCCAAGAACAGGGCCAACCTTTTTTTTTTTTTTTTTTTTGCAACCTTATCTTTGACAAAGGAGCCAAACACCTTCAAAGCAAGAAAGATAGCCTCTAACAAATGGTTCTGGTACAGCTGACTTTCCACAGGACAGAGACTAAAATGACGCCCACATGTCTCACCATGCACTAAACTGAAACTGCAATGGATCAAAGAGCTAACTATTAAGCAGCAGCCGGGTTCGATCCCCTTGTGCCTGCCAGCCCCTCCCCCAGGGCGTGCTGAGCCAGCAACTGAGACCGCGCGGCGGCACACGCCTACAATCCCAGCGCTTGTGAGGCTGAACACTGGAGAATCACTTTGAGTCCAATCTACGTAGTTAGACTCTGTAGACCCTGTACTAAACACATTTTTTAAAAAAGAAAAGAACCGAATATTAAAACAGAACTAAATCTGCTGGAAGGTAGAATAAGAACTCTTGAAGACCATGTTATAGGCAAAGACTTTATGGACAAAACCCCAATCACACAAGAACTATCACAAAGAATCAACAGCGGGGATCCCATCTTATTAAAAAGCGTTTGCGGGGCAAAAGAAATCACCAGTCTTTACAACAATGGAGTAAAGAGCCAAGCCACAGCGAAAGAAAAAAAAAATTTTGTCAGCTGTTCCTCAGGTAAAGGACTACTATTAGAATGTATAAAGAATTTCAAAAATCCAAACACCCCCACCCAAAAAAAAATTTCTTTTTCTTTTTGAGACACAGCTTCACTAGGTAGCTCTGGCTGGCCTTGAACTCACTTTGCAACGCAGTCTGGCCTCAAACTAGCAGAAACCCTCCTGCCTCAGCCTCCCAAGTGCTGAGGTTACAGGCCTATGACTTCAAAACCAGTGGAGCACCAAAATTTAAAGTCCCAACCCAAAAAACTACAACTAGAGGGGGCCTGTGGGTTAGCTCAGTTGTTTAAGCACCTGTTCATTTAAAAAAAAAACAAAAAAAAACCCTACAACTAGAGGTCCCATTTGACCCAGCTATTCCACTTCTTAGTATCTTCCAAAGAATTAAAAGTGGGCCAGCCAGATGGCTCAGCAGATTAAAGCATCTGCTTACGCAGACACGAGGGCTAGGGTTTCAATCCCCAGCCAGCCATGCTGGCCCTGGCCCTGCCCCTGCCTCGGGGACACACGGAGACAGGGATTGAGAATGGGCGTGGTGGCACAACCTGTAATCCCAGCCCTTGGGAGGCTGAAAAACAGGAAGGATCACTACAAATCCAATCTGTGTAGTGAGACCCTGTACTAAATACATAAAAAATAATTTTTTTAAAAAATTTTATTTATTTATTTGTGTGTGTGTGTGTGTGTGTGTGTGGCCAGCTCAGCCCACCAGGGGG